TTCGAAACAGAATTCAATTATTTAAAATTTTTTTGTAAAAATCTTCGTAAGAATTCAATTTTTTTAATGAATAATAAAATTTGCTCAGGAATTCAATTATTTAAATTAGAATTTGCACAAAATTAGTCGAAAGAAATCGATTATTTAAAAATTTTTTCTGAAATTCTTCTCAATAATTAAATTATTTTTATAAATATTTAAATTCTTTCATGCATAATATGAAATTTGTTGCAGGAATGAAATTTATTAGCAAGATAAGAAAGAAGTAAATACTTTTTGATGAAAATTAGGAAAAAATCAGGAAAATAAAATACAGAAAATAGAATAGAATTTTTGTCAGTTTTGTAAAGTGTCTAAAATGAGTTTTTTTGGTTGTCAAGTTTAATTTTTCGATAGCTACTTTTTTTACTACTTTTTTTAGTTTGAAATCTACTTTTTGATACTTTTTTAAAATTAATTATTAATTATCGAGTGCGAATTCTGGAATATAGAAAACAAAAGATTAACCAATAGTAAAAACTAAAAAATAAATATTTTCGTACGAGAGAAAATAGTTAAACATATTTATGACATAAAAAAATTTTCCCTATTCTATTCTCTTGTTATAAATTTGAAAAAAAATTGGTTTTATTATTTTCCTATTTTATTATTATTATACCAAACATAATTATGTTACCCTGATTTACACCCGAGATGAAATTACTCATCTCGTTATTTAAACGGTAATTTATCATGAGTTCTATATTATCTGAGAGGCCCACCCCTCTAAAAGTTTACACAACATTTCCAAAATAACGCTATCACGTGCCATTAGGCAATGGCTCAACGCACTGAGGTAAAATATACTATATATGTATACGCAAGCAACCTAGGAAATAATCAAATAACTTGATTGCATCGCCAAATACGAGTCAAATTTTGAGTAAAGTCTGTGCATCCAACCATAAATAGTAGATATCTTATGTACACGATTCCCTTCCTGGAAACGCCCACCCTTTTCGTATCGCATTCCACAAAGAGGGAGTGGGTCTTTCCTAAGACCAATAGAGAGAGAGAGAGAGAGAGAGAGAGAGAGAGAGAGAGTAGCATCAACTTAATGCAAAATTTCCTCTAAATATAAAGTGGTGTGTTTGTGTGTACGTATGTGTTTGTATTTGATGGCGAAAAGGAGCGTCGAGGCGTTTTAAAACGAATTTCGTTGATAACCGACGGGTGGTCTGATTACAATCTGTCTGATGGCCTATCATCGGTGACCACTAGAGGTTCCGGTGAGAGCACACACACGCACACATACACAAACCCCTATACACATCATGGGAAATTAGTATCAAAGTCTCTCGTCATTTTGGCTTACTTACAACTCTTTAAAATTTTTTTATTATTATCATTTTTTTTCTTCCTCGTTCTTTAAATTTATATTTTAAATATTTTAAACTCAGCAGATTGCGTATCGATTTTTTTCTTGTGCCATTGTGTTTATATACTTTTTGAAATATCAGTCTCAGCATAAAAAAAAGGACGTCATTATTTTAGGTTCAAATGAATATGAAAGTTTTTCTTCTTTTAATTCTAATTTGCTGAGTCGACAGAATTTCGAGAACGAAAGTTCTTAGACTTTTTATACAGTTTGTAAATTTATTATTATATAAATAAACTTGTGTAAATATTATTGTTTATAATTTAGTTCGTTTAATTATTATCTATAAGTAGTAAGTTAAATATCTATATCTATCAGTGTAAGTTAAATAGATTTTTTGTATTTCTAATTTCCTTACTAAACATTTGGATCATTTAGATCGAAATTTTATTGTAAATATATATAATTATTTTGATTATTATAATAAAATATAATAGACGAATATTTCGATTATATGTTAATTAAAAGAGTAATATTTCTCTATAAACAATATTACACAAGAAAATTGTGAACAAAGAAGAGAAAACAATTTTGAGATTTGAGCATTGTGTGTTAGTCACTTTGAGATTCATTTTTTTTTCTTTTTCTCTCTGATTTCTTTTTTCTTTGTTTTGTTATCCAGCTTTGTTGAGTAAATTCGCATGACTTTAATTAAGCTAGGTTATTTCGTTCAATTTTCCTCGCGTTGTTTCGCGTCGAGTTGCGACGCTCGTGAATGGCTTTTATGTTCCTCACCAACCTTTATGCCGAAGTGAAGACAAATAAAGACCCCCTCGGTGTATAAATAAAAGGGGTGCGTGGAAATGTTACCTAAGGTACGTCGACGTCCACACCAAAAAGCATCAACATCATTCCCGGACGATGCCAAATTAATGAATGCAATTTTAATAGGGCTCTCTCTGTGTGTGTATGTCTGAAAGCGAGAAGGGTTGCCCTTCGCCTCGTGATTTTACGCTTCTTGGGTCACAGAGTTTCCTTCTGTCATGCAACAACAAATTCTATCCTCTTTTCTCTATATCCTCACTACTTACATACTATTCAAAATACATCGTTATACTATCGTTGTTCAATTCAAACAGAATGTTGAATAAAATTTTGAATGGAATTTTTTATTTCTTTTAGTTTTTCGATTAATACAATTTTATTTGGGTTGAATAATGCTTTTCAAAAATCGTTAAACAATTTTTTAAATTTTTTATATCTTTTAAGTCTTTTCAACAATTTTTAATTTCACTTAAGGCTATTTTTATTTTTACTACTTTTTTTTTAATCAACCGAAGTAACAAGGTTTCTTTTTACTAAAACTGAATATTTTCTATTTACATTGATGGTTTTAGAAATTTATATGTTTGTCTGACTAGAACTCACATTTACTACTAAGAAATTATAAAATTACTTCAAAATCTGAAAGAATTTACTTTTAGTCTTTTAAAATAATTTTTTGTAATTTGACGGACTAAATTTTATTTTTACAACTTATAATTTACATTAGTAGTATTTTAAGTGGTTAAGTCTGACTATATCTGTTCGTTACTACTGAAAAATTAGAAAATTACTTTAAAATCAGAAAGAATTTACTTTTAGTCTTTTAAAATAATTTTTTGTAATTTGACGGACTAAATTTTATTTTTACAACTTATAATTTACATTAGTACTTATATGAAGCTTTGAGGCTGACTATAACTTTTCAGCCTATTAAGGTAATTTGTTTTGTAATTTTTCTGACTAAATTTTATTTTACTTCTTTGAATTTAAATTAATAGATATATGAAGTGTTGAGGCTAACAATAACTTTTATTCACTACTGAAAAATTAGAAAATTAATAACAAAAATATAACTAAAACTTACTTTTCTAAAGTAATAAAATAATTTAATAGCGTCTGACTAAATTTTATTTTTACTACTAATAATTTTTAATTTTACTTATTTCAAATGTTCTGGCTGACTAGAACTCTTCTTTACTACTGAAAAATGACATAATTACTTAAAAATCTGAAAGAATTTACTTTCAGACTTTTAAAATAATTTTTTATAATTTGACTGACTAAATTTTATTTTTACAGCTTATAATTTACATTTTTAGTACTTATATGAAGCTTTAAGGCTGACTATAAATTTTTTTTACTACTAAAATTTTTACTACTAAAATTTACTTTTCTAAACTAATAAAATAATTTAAGTGTCTGACTAAATGTTATTTTTACTATTACTAATTTTAAATTTCACTTATTTGAAGTGTTCTGAATGACTAGAACTCTCCTTTGCTATTAAAAAAATATCAAATTTAGTTAAAAATTTGAAAAAATCCATTTTTATTCTAGAAAAATAGTTTTTTTCTAATTTGTCTGACTAGAATTTATTTTTACTACTTACAATATAAATTAATACGTATTTCAAAAAGTTAAGGCTGACTATATCTTTTCTCAACTACTGAAAAATCAGGAAATTCGTTACAAACGTGACTAAAACTTACTTTTCCAAATCAATGAAATAATTGAATGTAGATTGTCTGACTAATTTATATTTTTACTACTAATAATTTTAAATTTCACTTATTTTAAGTGTTCGGCTGACTAGAACTCTTCTTTACTACTGAAAAATTACAAAATTAGTTAAAAATATGAAAATATCCTTTTTTATTGTGTATAAATAGTTTTTTCTTATTTGTCTGACTATATTTTATTTTTACTACTGATAATAAAAATTAATACATATTTTAAGTGGTTAAGTCTGACTATATCTTTTCTTTACTACTGAAAAATTAGAAAATTCGTAAAAAACATGACTAAATATTACTTTTCCAAATCAATGAAATAATTCAATGTAGATTGTCTGACTAATTTATATTTTTACTACTTATAATTTTAAATTTCACTTATTTCATGTGTTCGGCTGACTAGAACTCGCCTTTACTACTAAAAAATAATAAAAGTAGTAAAAAATCTAAGAAAAAAATAATTTTATAGACTAATAAAATAGTTACCATATTCTGTCTGACTAAATCATTTTTTACTACTAATTTTTCAATTATACCTATTTTAAGTGTTTTTTTGACTAAAACTCTATTTTACTGCTGATTTTCCATTCAACTTAATATAGAATGTTGCCCTTTGAGTAACAAAAATGAAAAACAATTATATTCTTCTTATAATATTGGTACATTATTAGATTAAATTGTTATTTATTGTTTTATATTGTTATAAATTGTTTAATATTGTTATTTATTGTCGTATATTGTCGTATATTGTTAAATATTGTTACATATTGTTACATCTTGTTAAATTTTGTTTACATATTATTATATCTTGTTACATATTGTTATATATATATATCTTGTTACATTTATTATATACGAAATCCCAATTATCATTCTCAATAATTCCAATAATTCTCATACTATTTAATAAATTTTTGCATCCCACTTGTTGAAAATATAATTCTAATATACATAACTAAAACAGTTGATAATAATAATTCGATGGAGAGAAATTTTGTTCTAATGCATATTAAATTTGATAAGTTATGAAAGGGTAATTAGTCGAAGATTGCATTTTAATACTTTACTTTTCACGAATGTTTCAGAACACTATCACATATTCGTTGGGGACCTGAGCCCGGAGATCGAGACGCAGACCTTGAGAGAAGCCTTCGCCCCCTTCGGCGAGATCTCGTAAGTCCTCTTAAGCTCCCTCATTAAAGACGACTTACCGTCCCCACTCTATTGCTTTTCCTATGGCGCGCGAGCTCACTAGTTTTAAACACCGAAACGAACTAAACGCGAAAGCGTGTGAGTGATGCCTTCTCGCCAAAGTGGATTCTAATCTGCTCATATTGTCTCGGCATAATCCTCCTCCTCCTCCCTCTCCTCTTTAAACCTTTCCCTATATATTCCCCAGTAAACATCATCACACAAAATGGAATCTTAATTATTTTCCAGTAATTAGCAAAATTACACCCTTATTCATTTGTTTAAAATCAAAATTTTTCCTCCGGTGTCGATTTCTGAGAATTTTATGTGTTATAATTATAAAGTGAATTCAATACTTAAATTTTCTATGGATATCAAATTGAGACTAAGAACGTAGCAAAATTGTTGCGAAGCAACATTTTGATTATAATTGTAATAATTACAATTATAATGTATAGTAATTATTACATGAAAAAAAAATCTTTACCGGAAGGGCATATAAATTTCACTATATTACCGAAATTTTTAGTTGCTTTTGTTATGACTTTCGAAATTCTATTGAAATTTTTCGCTGTTATAGGTGAATATTTTTTCCGTATAAATTTCTTTTTATTAGCGAAAGTCTTAACTGAAACAAATGAAAATTTTTCTAATATATTTTTTCAATTAATAATAATTTTATATTTTGTTGGAAAGAATTTTTATTTTCTTAAATTTATCCGGTTGCTGACAGTTCGAGATACTAAATTTGTCAAAGGAAATGTTTTCTCTGAGCTATTGCACAGAGAATATCGTTAAATGTCGAAATGACTATAGTCTGTTTCTGACAATTATTACTTTGTCTCAAATGATCATTATCTATCAAGAGTGATTATTTACAATTGAAATTACACGATAGGCGGGAAAATGATGTCAAACTAAATTACACACAAATTCAAATTATTTTCGAAATTTCATTGTTTTCGTAAAATTCATTGTGAAATTTTTCAATTTATTATTGACTTGAAAAAAAATTTTTAAAAAAATATAATTAAAAAATATTATTTAAAAAATAGTTTTAAAAAATAGTATTAAAAAATAGTATTAAAAAATAGTATTAAAAAATATCTAGTATAAAAAATACTTTTCAAGAATATTATTTAAAAAATATTTAAAAAATAGTACTAATATTTAAAAAAATGTAGTAATAAAAAATAGTATTAAAAATAACATTAAAAAAATACTAGTCAAAAATAGATTTAAAAATTAAAATTAGAGAGTAGTGTCAAAAAAAAGTATTAAATAAATTTGAAAATTAGAAAGAAATTTGACTAAGATTTACTTTTCTATTAACTAACAAAATAATTTAAGGTGAGGGTTCGTTTGTATTTTTAACAATGTCATGAAAATGATTTAAATATTCCATTAAATAATTTTTGTAATGACTTTTTGACAGGAATTTAACGTCTATAAAATAAAATCGGTCTGAAAATATTTTAACACTTTCTGAATTATTTTTCTTGAAAATTGATGAATTTCAAAATCCATTTGACAACTTAAATTTTGTAGAAAAACTGTTTTTATATCCACAAAAAAATTTCTAAATGAAAGAATTAATTTTTACTTTTTATGAAACATTTTTTTAAACATTGTTTTTCGGTAGAAAATTCTAAAAAATACCATTGTTATTCAATTTTTTTATTTGAAAATTCATTTGTTTATTTTTACAACTGATTTCAAATCATATTTCTTTGAAATCAAAAATAAAAAATATGATAAAATTATGATTTGAAATTAATTTTTGAAAATAAACATATGAATTTCCAAATAAAAAAATTAGATAACAACGATATTTTTATCACTTTCATCATAAGAAATAATGTTTCTTTTAAAAATACTTCAAAAATAGTAATAAAAATTAATTATTTCAATTGGCAATTTTTTTGTGAATATAAAAAAATATTTTCTACAGAATTACGGATGGATTTTGAAATTTAACAATTTTTTAGAAAAATGAAAATGTAAAAAGAATGGAAATGTATTGCGATCGAATTTATTTTATGATCAGTGAATTCCTCTCAAAAAATTACTATAAAAACAACTTTTTTAAATATTTAAATTAATTTCTTGATAAAGTCAAAAATATAGGTGAACTCACCCCTTAATGCATTTTGCCTGACTAAATTTTATTTTCACTACTGAAAATTTAAATTTATACGTATTTTAAGTGTTCAGGCTGACTAGTATTGTATTTTACTACTAATTTTTATGTCAATTGTAGTGTTTCGTCTTACTGAAAGTATATTTTACTACACTTATTGTTATTGTACTTATTTCAAGTGTTTGCCTGACTAAAGCGCTTCTTTACTACTGAAAAATCGGAAATAGTAAGAAGTCTGACAAAAAAAATATTTTTACTACTGATAATTTAATATTACACATTTTTTGAGGGTTCAGCCTGACTGATACTTTTTTAACTATTGATTTTCATGTCACTTCAGATCACAGTGAAAATAAAATGTTTGTCTGACTAGAATTCGTCTTTACTATACTAAAAAAGTAAAATAATATTTCAAAAATAGTATCAATAAAATAGTACCTATTAAAAGAATAATTTTGAATAATAGTATTTAAAAACAGAATTAAAGAATACAATTCAAAAATAGCACCAAAAAATAGTTTTAAAAATCATTGTTGAAGAAAATTAACCAATGTAATTGAATTTAGATTTGAATTTCGTTTGCGTAAACGAATAGAATTTAAAAATAGTTGCGAAAAATAGTTTTAAAAAATACTTTCAATAAAACTAAAAATAATTAAATAGAAAAATAATATTAAAAGATATTAATAAAATAACTAATTTTTAATAATTAGCATTATAACTGCATCAAAAATGACAAAACACGAGATTCATTTTACCAAATTTAATTGAACGGTATTGTTATGAGGAGTTCATTGGGACATGATATATACGTGTGTGTGTGTATTATGATCATTTTAGAATGATCGTTAAAATATCTCGCATCACTTGATGATAGGATAAAATATATATGTATAGTATACATATAATATAGAATATAGTGACACAGGGGCGAACTGAGATATAATACATATATCATTTGATCATGAAACATTTTACTAACTGATTCATTAGTCCCTTATTGTAAATCAATTCCTCATTATATGTTCGATTAAATTACTAGCGTGATAGTAGTGTTTGTGTGGGTGTGTGTATGTGTGCTGGGCGGAAGACAAGTAGGCAGTAAAAGCAGGTCCAATCAAGTGTGTCCTGAATCTGCCACTGCCATTTCCGCGGTTACCATCATCATTAGCACACCTCTAACTTCAAACTCGTGATAAATCCGCTAATCAACTGATAGTTTTGATGCGCTCCCAATTGATTTTTGTTGAAATTAATTTTTCGAGATAATTGAAATTTAATTTCTTCTTTCGCAAGACAATTTATTTTTTCTTTCACAAAACAATTCTTTGCTTCTATAAAAGTTTATTTCTGAATAGAATAAAACTATTAATTTGTATTGTTAAATAAAACTGTTTATTTCAAAATTTTAAGAAATTTTACTCTACTGGATGATTATATATATTTTTTACTACTGATTTTAGAAAATTTTAGAAGTTTCTTGTCTGACCGTGTCGGATTGTTACTACTGTACATGATATTTCATAGAAAAAGCTTTTTGTCTGACTATAAATTTTCATACTACTGATTCTTATTTTTCTGTATTCTCTCAGTCGGACTAGAAATTGCTTCTTCTACTGAAACTAGTATTGCCTGGTTTTAAAGTACTTTTGGCTGACTAAAACTTTTTTTTTTCTACTGAAAAATGACAGAATTTGTCAAAATAAAAACAATTTAAGACAATTAGTATTGATTATCTTTCAAAGTGAAAATAAAAATGATAAAAAAATCCACAATGAAAAAAGTAAGAATTAAAATGAAAGGGAAAGTAAAAGTAAAAATGAGAATGAAAGTCAAAATAAATGTCTCAAAATAAAAGTGAAATTGTAAATCAAAATAAAAATCTCTCAAAGTGAAAGTAGAAATGAAATTACATAATCTACCTCTACTGGCAACTAATTTTTATTTTTTAAATAAAATCAAAATATTTTTTAAAAATAAATTTGAAAACATCTTCTCAGTCTTACCAACCGAAAATCAAGAATTTTAAACAAATCATCATGACCCACATTTCACATAGAAAAGTTAATATTATCTCTTACTTTAAATCCTGACAATTAACCTGTCTTAAGATTTGTATCTACAGTTGATTTTACAAACCAAATAAATTTTTTTTTTTTTTGCTGCCCCAAGCCAAAGATGTAAATCTATCTTCAAAATCAGTCTATCCCATTGTGTTTCGAAAGAGTGAAAATGAAGTTCCATATAGACACTCGTACACATAAGACTTTACTGGCCAAAGTGCTTGGAGTAAGTATGAGTCTACTTATACTCGGCACTGTGAGAGACCCTGGAAAAATGGAGCCTTCTAGGAAAATCGATTCAAACTCGCTTCCGTGAGTACGTAACAGCGCTTTAAAAAAGCTCTTGAAAAATTGCCGGTGGTTTTCCTCTTTATTTTGTTCTCCTCCCCCCCTCCCCCCTTCTTTCTGCCACATCACAATCCACTCCTCACTGGCACCTCCTCTGTTTTTCTCCGTTTTCACGTGGAGAAATTTCACTAGAAAAAAAGAAAAAAATATTCACCCTTGAAAAAAGCAGAAAAGGAAAAAAAAAATTTGTTCACTGATTCGAATCAAAAACTACATAGTTTTTAGAATTTTTCTATTTTCTAAAAATTTTCGAAAATTATTTTCTAATTTTTTATGTTTCTTTTTCGTAATATTTAATATTTGAAAAAAAGTTTTTTTTCAAAGATTTAAATGTTCGATTTTCTTATTCGTGTCAGAATAAAAGAGAGAGGGTGAAAATAGAGAGAGAGAGAGGAGAGAGTTATCTACCTACGTGATTAAAAGTTGGTTCC